CGTCAATGAAGGTGATGTGAGCGGATCCAGTCACGCCGAAGAGAACATGCCGGGTGACCATGGGCTCGATCATTTTTTCCGAGAAGAGGCCAGAGGACAAGCGACAGGTGAGGAAGCGTCGGATAAAAGTGTCCAAGTTACTCTCACCAGTCCTCTAGGTATTGACCGCACCCGTCTAGGTGAGCTGCAAAAGGAAGAGTTTCCTGAGTTGGTACGGGAGGCGGAAGGAGGTCTCGTTGGACCCAAGTCACCGACTCATTTCTTCGTGGAGAAGGGAGTGCTAATGAGGCAGTGGAGACCGGTTAGGGAAGAAGCGGGCGATGATATGCTGAGAGTGAGACATCAGGTGGTGGTGCCAGCGCAGTACAGATGCGCGGTGCTAAAACTTGCACACACAGTGGATCCCGCGGGTCACTTGGGAGTAACCAAGACCTTAGGCAGGCTTCGGGAACATTTTTATTGGCCGGGCATGGACGCGGATGTAAGAAAAATTTGCAAGACGTGTTTCCCGTGCCAGAGAGCGGGGAAGAACGTCCCTGCCATCCCGAAAGCACCTTTAGTTCCAGTTCCAGCCTTTGGCCAGGCGTTTGAGTGCCTAATAATCGACGTCGTGGGACCATTACCTAAGACAAGAAAAGGGAACAATTACTTATTGACTATCATGTGTGCTTCGACGAGATTTCCAGAGGCGATCCCAGTGCGGAAGGTGACATCGAAATGCGTCATGGGACACCTTCAGCGGTTCTTTGCTTGGGTAGGTGTGCCCAAGAGATCCAGTCCGACTGTGGAAGTGTTTTCCAGTCGAGGTGGTTTAGGCAGGCTATTGCGAGCTGGGGAATAGCCCAACTACGTTTGTCTCCTTATAGACCTCAATCGCAGGGAGCGATTGACAGGTTCCATTCAACTCTGAAGACCATCTTAAGAGTGTATTGTGCTGAACAGGGAGCGGAATGGGATGAGGCTGTCTGTCCAGTCCTGTTCGCGAACCGAGATGCTATATTTGAGTCTCTGGGATTCTTTCCATTCCAGCTAGTTTTTTGGGCGCGAAGTAAGGAGCCCGTTATTGATGCTGAAGGAGCGGATGACGGCGGAGAAGACATTAGTGACAGTGGAAGAGTATGTGCAAAGATTCCATGAACGATTGAAAACGGTGAAGGAGCTGGCTGCTGATCACCTGAAGACAGCGCAAGAGAAGATGTCGATCTGGTACGACAAGAAGGCTGTCCCAAGGGAGTTCGAGGCAGGAGCCAGAGTGATGATGTTGCTACCTGGGAGGGGTAGAGTGACGGAATCACGCTTTGGTGATCCATACTCGGTTGTTCGGCGTGTGGGTCCTGTAAGTTATGAGATCAGCAAGCCGAATCGCCCTAACAAGACACAGGTGTGTCATATCAAACGTTTAAAGCCATACTACCCAGAGGAGCAAGAGAGTGCGGGAGTGAAGGGAGCAACACAATCGCTAGAAGGGAAATTGGATCTGTGTATGGAGATGAACCAAGTGTTGCCAGCGGAGGAGAGAAAGTGGGCCCGTGCCGATGGTACGCGCCTGTCGAATACAGAGAGTTTGATACACCTAGAAGACAGGCTGCGTCATCTGGATAAAGGGAAAAGGAGAGAACTAGTGACCCTCATAAGAATGAACAAGTCGCTTTTCACGGATGTGCCCCGACGGCACAAGAGTGTGGTGCACGAGGTGGACATGTACGGAGGAAAGCCAATCAAGCAGAGTGCTTATCGGGTGAGTCCTGAGAAGAGGAAGATCATGCGACAGGAGGTGGAATATCTGCTAGCGAATGATCTCGCTGAGCCCAGCAACGGTGAGTGGAGCTCGCCCTGTGTGCTGGTCAAGAGGAGTGACGGATCATATCGTTTTTGCACTGACTATCGTAAAGTGAATGCCATAACCGTGTCAGATTCTCACCCGATGGCCCGAATAAGTGATTGCGTCGACCAAGTAGGAAATGCAAGGTTTGTCACCAAGGTCGACCTGCTGAAAGGGTATTATCAAATCCCTTTGTCTCCGAGTGCGAGAAAGATCTCAGCGTTTGCTACTCCAGACGGATTGTACCAGTACAAAGTGCTTCCATTTGGTATGAAGAACAGCGGAAGTTGTTTTCAGAGGATGATGAACGAAGTGCTAAGAGGGATGGAAGGCTGCGCCGTGTATATAGTTGATATAGTGGTGTACGCCGATAGCTGGAAACAACACATGAATCGACTGACGGAGTTATTCCAACGGTTGGAGGAAGCGAACCTGACCGTTAATCTGGCCAAGAGCGAATTTGGAAAGGCCCGATTAGAATACTTAGGTTTCGTCGTGGGTCAAGGGGAAGTGACTCCAGTAGACCAGAAAGTGATGGCAATCAAAGAATATCCGAATCCCAGGACGAGAAAGGAATTGTTACGATATTTAGAGATGGTTGGATACTATAGAGGATTTTGCAAGAACTTCTCGACAGTGGCTCATCCTCTGACTGAATTGCTATCTAAGAACGTTAGATGGAAGTGGGGGGAAGCATGCCAGAAGTCCTTCGAGAAGACTAAGAAGTTGTTGACTGAAGCGCCAGTGCTGATTTCGCCTGACTTTGAGTCAGACTTTATCGTATACGTCGATGCTAGCGACGTGGGGACTGGAGCCATGTTAGCTCAAGAGAAGGATGGAGTCCACCGTCCAGTAGCATTCTACTCGAAGAAATTCGAAAAGTACCAGAGGTCTTATAGTACAGTGGAAAAGGAAACCTTGGCCCTGATCCTGGCACTGAAGCATTTTGACATCTATGTGGGTGGAGGTACTAGACCGGTGCAAGTGTTCACCGATCATAACCCCTTGACGTTCGTGCACAGGATGAAGAACACAAACCAAAGGCTGACAAGATGGGCCCTACTGTTCCAAGAGTACTGGCTAGAAATCAGGCACATTAAAGGAAGGGAGAATGTGGTGGCAGATGCCCTCTCCCAGATTTACTAACCGATATGACTCTTATTTTAAGGGGAGGGGTATGTTACGGTGCCCTCTCCTATATCTTTCGTTTGCCTGCTTTAAGAGTCATATCAGCTCTCCCTACTGATTCTCTGAGGTTCAGGGAGTCTATTGATATATGTGGCGACCAGACCGGCTGCCAGTTAAGGGAGAAAGTTACATTATAAGTTGTAAGTAAGGGGAATTGGCACCCTGATATAAAATGAAAGAGTATCCCCTACTGCAGATATGACTTTTTGAAGGGACACTAGCCGATCGCGGATTGGCCGACTTAGGTCGCGGGCGACCAATCAGGACCCGCCGTGACGTCACCGAGTGCCCCGGGCGGCGCCAAAGTCATAGATGACCTGACCTTGGAAGCGAGAGGACGCACCTCGGTCAGCTCTCAAGGATTTGAGGCTCTACAAGCCTTTCTTAGTGGATTAGTGCTGGCTATCGCAGCCCATCTGATGTATTGGAGACCCCGCGCTTCTGGGAAGCAAAAAGGAACCAAGTTTATTGAGCAAAAGAGTGCCAAACTTGGAAAATATTCGGCGACGACGCTGGGCGGCGACGCTGGACGTTGAGGGCCTGGAAAGGTGTGGCGGGCAAGCCTAGCTGTGACCGGGTCACATCCACTGAGGGTTTTGGAAGGACGACACCGTTCCTAGGACAAGGAGCAACGCCTTGTGGAAGGTGCGAGTGTGGGAAAATAGTGATTAGCTCAGCGCCCATCGATGAACCAGGATTGGGGTAGCTGAATCTCAGGGATAGGAACGGCGACGACGCGAAGGCTCCACGACACCTGAGGACCTGTGGAACGTTCCTGGATCGTCAAGGATCGACTCAGGAAGCGTGGGAACCTCACACCATCGAGGGACAGGCGTCGTGAGCCAGGAATGTAAGGTAGATCATTTTCCCTCCCATTACCCCTTGTGTGAGTAGGCTAGTTAGGCCACAATATTTACTTATGTGTGTGGCAATAGGACATTAATACTTTAGTAGTAGAATAGGCTGCAAGGCAGCTTGTGTCCAGGACTGTCAGAGGGGACAGTGTGTATGGATGGCAGGACAGTGAAGAAGAGGCGCCGACGTGGTGAAGAGGCCCTCCTGTGAGAGAGTGTGGGACTCCTGTCTTTCTGCCCAGTTGAAGGAGTGTTGGAGGTCGTGGAAGAAGAGGCTGACGATCTCCAAACTTATTATCCTTATTTTCATATTCATGTATTACTTGTGATTGTATGTGTGATCATGTAATTTGCATCAGTAAATTCACACATTTTATCATTGTGTTTAAGTGTGCCTCCATTTATAATGTTTCTCTATGAGCATACACGAAGGTTATCATAGTACCACCTAGGGAACACTACGTTCTCTATAGAAGTTCTTATTGCCTGGAGAGTGGTAAAGACAGCACGGACCTATATAAAAGTGTACCCTTAGCCATCCGATCAGTATCAGTGCCTGAATGGTGGCAACTAGTAACGTGGTGGCTAGAGAGAGGTAAAGCCACACAGACCTTCCTGGGAGAGTACCCTGGGCCGACAGTCTAGTAGCAGATCTATGGGAGTGCCAATCTTCTGGCTACAAACAATATATAATACACCCACTGAACTGCATTGCTGGGGTGCAGATATAATAACTTAGCTGGCGACCTTGTTAAGAAGAAGATAGAGAAGGCAGGCGGGAAAGGAGTTCCTACAACCTTTTTGTCTGGCAGGCAAGACTCAGGGAGATTATGGTTATAAGGTAAGGTCCTCTCCCGTGTGACCAAGGAGACTCCGGTGAATCCCGGGAGTCGGAGGGGCTGAGTATTCGGCCTTTTGAGCCCCTAGCAGCTGAGTGCTAGCAGAGCCCCGGCCCACCCCCCGTGACACAGCTTACCCTAAACATTTTGTACAGACAGATTGGAGTTGTCAGCTTTCCCTAAATATTGTGAAGAGAAAGACTGAACTTGTCAGCTTACTCTAAACATTTTGAAGGCCGTAAGTCACACAACAAGAGAAGTCATATATATTATTTTTACCTATTTTGTTGGGTGTACATGCGTGCTGGTGGATGTTGAGGCGTGCTGGTGGATGTTGAGGCGTGCTGGTGGATGTTGAGGCGTGCTGGTGGATGTTGAGGCGTGCTGGTGGATGTTGAGGCGTGCTGGTGGATGTTGAGGCGTGCTGGTGGATGTTGAGGCTTGCAGGTGGATGTTGAGGCGTGCTGGTGGATGTTGAGGCGTGCTGGTGGATGTTGAGGCGTGCTGGTGGATGTTGAGGCGTGTTGGTGGATGAACAGGTGTGCTGGTGAATGTTGAGATGTGAAGGTGGATGTTGAGGTGTGCTGACGGATGTTGAGGTGTGCGCTGATGGATGTTGAGGCGTGCTGGTGGATGTTGAGGCGTGCTGGTGGATGTTGAGGTGTGCTGGCGGATGGTGAGGCGTGTAGGTGGATGTTGAGGTGTGAAGGTGGATGTTGAGGTGTGAAGGTGGATGTTGAGGCGTGCTGGTGGATGTTGAGGCGTGCTGGCGGATGTTGAGGCGTGTTGGTGGATGTTGAGGTGTGAAGGTGGATGTTGAGGCGTGCTGGTGGATGTTGTGGTATGCTGGTGAATGTTGAGGCGTGCTGGTGGATGTTGAGGTGTGCTGGTGGATGTTGAGGTGTACTGGTGGATGTTGAGGTGTGCTGGTGGATGTTCAAGTGTATTGGTGGATGTTGAGGATGTTGAGACGTGCTGGTGGATGTTGAGGCGTGCTGGTGGATGTTCAAGTGTATTGGTGGATGTTGAGGATGTTGAGACGTGCTGGTGGATGTTGAGGCGTGCTGGTGGATGTTGAGGCGTGCTGGTGGATGTTGAGGCGTGCTGGTGGATGTTGAGGTGTGCTGGTGGATGTTGAGGTGTGCTGGTGGATGTTGAGGTGTGCTGGTGGATGTTGAGGTGTGCTGGTGGATGTTGAGGCGTGCTGGTGGATGTTGAGGCGTCCTGGTGGATGTTGAGGTGTGCTGGTGGATGTTGAGGTGTGCTGGTGGATGTTGAGGTGTGCTGGTGGATGTTTAGGTGTGCTGGTGGATGTTGAGGTGTGCTGGTGGATGTTGAGGTGTGCTGATGGATGTTGAGGCGTGGTGGTGGATGTACAAGTGTGTTGGTGGATGTTGAGACGTGCTGGTGGATGTTGAGGCGTGCTGGTGGATGTTGAGGTGTGCTGGTGGATGTTAAGGTGTCCTGGTGGATGTACAGGTGTGGTGGTGGATGTTCAGGTGTGCTGGTAGATGTTCAGGTATGCTCGTGGATGTTAAGGTGCGGTGGTGGATGTACAGGTGTAGTGGTGGATGTACAGGTGTAGTGGTGGATGTTGTGATGTACTAGTGGATGTTGAGGTGTGCTGGTGGATGTTGACGTGTTATGGCGGATGGACAGATGTGCTGGTGGATGTACAGGTGTGCTGGTGGATGTTCAAATGTGCTGGTGGATGGTGAGGTGTGTTGGTGGATGTTGAGGTATGCTGGTGGATGTTGAAGCGAGCTGGTGGATGTTAATGTGTGCTGGTGGATGTTGAGGTGTTCTGGTGGATGTTGAGGTGTGCTGGTGGATGTTGAGGTATGCTGGTGGATGTTGAAGCGAGCTGGTGGATGTTAATGTGTGCTGGTGGATGTTGAGGTGTTCTGGTGGATGTTGAGGTGTGCTGGTGGATGTTGAGGTGTGCTGGTGGATGAACAGGTGTGCTGGTGGATGGTGAGGTGTGCCGGTGGATGTTCAAGTGTGCTAGTGGATGTTGAGGTGTGCTGATGGATGTTGAAGAGTGCTGGTGGATGTACAGGTGTGCTAGTGGCTGTACAGGTGTACTGGTGGATGTTGAGATATGCTGATGTATGTTGAAGAGTGCTGGTGGATGTACAGGTGTGCTAGTGGATGTACAGGTGTGCTGGTGGATGTTGAGATGTGCTGATGGATGTTGAAAAGTGCTGGTGGATGTACAGGTGTGCTTGTGGATGTTGAGGCTGGTGGATACTGAGTTGTACTGGTGGATGTTGAGGTGTGCTGATGGATGTTGAGGTATGCTGGTGGATGTACAGGTGTGCTGGTGGATGTACAGGTGTGCTGGTGGATGTACAGACGTGCTGGTGGATGTACAGGTGTGCTGGTGGATGTACAGACATGCTGGTGGATGTACAGGTGTGCTGAATGATGTACAGACGTGCTGGTGGATGTACAGGTGTGCTGGTGGATGTACAGGTGTACTGGTGGATGTTAAGGCGTGCTGGTGGATTGTTACGACCCCTGACCTCTGGGTATGGCTCCTCTGCTCTTGCAGTTGTAAAATAGATATAAATGCGGCCAGGCCAACTACAATTGTCTAGGGATAAAAACAAAGTCAACCGCTTAATATGCAAAACAATATACTTTAAGTAAGGGTAAAAAAGGAACAAGCAAACATATAAAGGAAATATAGGCAGCCAGAAATATTATTGCACCAGAAAGAAATATCACAATATAATGATATATATGCACTGATCACTAATTAAAAACTTAAATTAATAGATGGGTATACTTAATATAAATCTACCAGATACATAGCTATGTTAATTAAGCACAAACAACCTCCACGAACTTATCTACTAAAACACAGATCCTCTCCCGCCAGCGCCACCCAGGCGTCTAACTCAGCTACAGCATGTTCAGCTTGGGGTCTACACATTACCAACTAACGAACAAATAAAATCTCTAGATACTCTGCTGTCTGAGAGTTATACTTATGAACATATTTTTAAATACACTAATATACATTTAACACTAATAAGGTGTAATTAAAAGAAATGTATATACAATAATTTGAATAATTATATGGGTGAATGCATGACACTAGGTTGATACCCTGCACGCATCATTGACACTTCCCAAATATGGTCATCCATATGGTCACAACACCATGGGGAAAACCACCAGGGGAACAACACCAGGGGGACAACACCAGGGGAACAACACCAGGGAACACCACCAGGCGAACAACACCAGGGAAAACACACCAGGGTCACAACACCAGGGAACACCACCAGGGGGACAACACCAGGGTCACAACACCAGGGAACACCACCAGGGGGACTACACCAGGGGAACAACACCAGGGGGACAACACCAGGGGAACACCACCAGGGGAACAACACCAGGGGGACAACACCAGGGGAACAACACCAGGGGAACAACACCAGGGGGACAACACCAGGGGAACACCACCAGGGGAACAACACCAGGGGGACAACACCAGGGGGACAACACCAGGGGAACAACACCAGGGGGACAACACCAGGGGAACAACACCAGGGGAACAACACCAGGGGGACAACACCAGGGGAACACCACCAGGGGAATAACACCAGGGGGACAACACCAGGGTGACAACACCAGGGGAACAACACAAGGGGAACAACACCAGGGGTACAACACCAGGGGGACAACACCAGGGGAAAAACACCCAGGGAACAACACCAGGGAAGCAACACCAGGAGAACAACACCAGGGTAACAACACAAGAGGAACAACACCAGGGGAGCAACACCAGGTTGAACAACACAAGGGGAACAACACCAGAGGAACAAAACCACGGAAGCAACACCAGGGGAACAACAGCAGGGGAAAAACACCATGGGAACAACACCAGAGGAACTACACCAGGGGAACAACACTAGAGGAACAACACCAGGGGAACAACACCAGAGGAACAACACCAGGGAAGCAACACCAGGGGAACAACACCAGGGGGAACAACACTAGAGGAACAACACCAGGGGAACAACACCAGAGGAACAACACCAGGGAAGCAACACCAGGGGAACAACAGCAGGGGAAGAACACCAGGGGAACCACACCAGATGAACAACACCAGGGGGACAACACCAGGGGAACAACACCAGGGGAACAACACCAGGGAAGCAACACCAGGGGAACAACACCAGGGGAACAACACCACGGGAACAACACCAGGGGAACCACACCAGGGGGACAACACCAGGGGAACAACACCAGGGGAACAACAGCAGGGGATCAACAGCAGGGGAACAACACCAGGGGAACAACACCAGGGGGACAACACCAGGGGGACAACAGCAGGGGAACAACACCAGGGGAACAACACCAGGGGACAACAACAACCAGGGGGACAACACCAGGGGAACAACACCAGGGGAACAACACCAGGGGGACAACACCAGGGGAACAACACCAGGGGAGACAACACCAGGGGAACAACACCAGGGGGAACAACACCAGGGGGACAACACCAGGGGACAACACCAGGGGAACAACACCAGGGGAACAACACCAGGGGGACAACACCAGGGGAACAACACCAGGGGAACAACACCAGGGGAACAACACACAGGGGAACAACACCAGGGGGACAACACCAGGGGAACAACACCAGGGGAACAACACCGGGGGAACAACACCAGGGGACAACACCAGGGGAAACACCAGGGGGACAACACCAGGGGGACAACACCAGGGGAACAACACCAGGGGAACAACACCAGGGGAACAACACCAGGGGAACAACACCAGGGGGACAACACCAGGGGACAACACCAGGGGACAACACCAGGGGTCAACACCAGGGGACAACACCAGGGGAACAACACCAGGGGGGATCAACAACACCAGGGGAACAACACCAGGGGGACAACACCAGGGGAACAACACCAGGGGAACAACACCAGGGGAACAACACCAGGGGAACAACACCAGGGGGACAACACCAGGGGAACAACACCAGGGGAACAACACCAGGGGAACAACACCAGGGGGAACAACACCAGGGGAACAACACCAGGGGGAACAACACCAGGGGAACAACACCAGGGGAACAACACCAGGGGGACAACACCAGGGGAACAACACCAGGGGAACAACACCAGGGGAACAACACCAGGGGACAGGGGAACAACACCAGGGGAACAACACCAGGGGAACAACACCAGGGGGACAACACCAGGGGAACAACACCAGGGGACAACACCAGGGGGACAACACAACAGGGGGAACAACACCAGGGGAACAACACCAGGGGAACAACACCAGGGGAACAACACCAGGGGGACAACACCAGGGGAACAACACCAGGGGGACAACACCAGGGGAACAACACCAGGGGGAACAACACCAGGGGGAACAACACCAGGGGAACAACACCAGGGGGACAACACCAGGGGAACAACACCAGGGGAACAACACCAGGGGACAACACCAGGGGAACAACAACACCAGGGGAACAACACCAGGGGAACAACACCAGGGGGACAACACCAGGGGGGGGACAACACCAGGGGAACAACACCAGGGGAACAACACCAGGGGAACAACACCAGGGGGACAACACCAGGGGAACAACACCAGACAACACCAGGGGGACAACACCAGGGGACAACACCAGGGGGGGGGACAACACCAGGGGGGGACAACACCAGGGGAACAACACCAGGGGAACAACACCAGGGGAACAACACCAAGGGAACAACACCAGGGGAACAACATCAGGGGAACAACACCAGGGGGACAACACCAGAGGAACAACACCAGGGGGACAACACCAGGGGAACAACACCAGGGGCACAACACCAGGGGAACAACACCAGGGGAACAACACCAGGGGAACAACACCAGGGGAACAACAGCAGGGGAACAACACCAGGGGAACAACACCAGGGGAACAACACCAGGGGAACAACACCAGGGGACAACACCAGGGGGACAACACCAGGGGGACAACACCAGGGGAACAACACCAGGGGGACAACACCAGGGGGAACAACACCAGGGGGACAACACCAGGGGAACAACACCCGGGGGACAACAAACAACACCAGGGGAACAACACCCGGGGGACAACACCAGGGTAACAACACCAGGGGGACAACACCAGTGGAACAACACCAGGGGGACAACACCAGGGGAACAACACCAGGGGGACAACACCAGGGGAACAACACCAGGGGGACAACACCAGGGGAACAACACCAGGGGGACAACACCAGGGGAACAACACCAGGGGAACAACACCAGGGGAACAACACCAGGGGGACAACACCAGGGGAAACACCAACACACAGGGGAACAACACCAGGGGAACAACACCAGGGGAACAACACCAGGGGAACAACACCAGGGGGAACAACACCAGGGGAACAACACCAGGGGAACAACACCAGGGGAACAACACCAGGGGAACAACACCAGGGGGACAACACCAGGGGAACAACACCAGGGGAACAA